GGATCACTTGATCAGATATGTACATATTTGTCTACTGTTTAAGACTATACACAGCCTGACTTCACCACTAAAACAGGTTGTGAATATTAGAACAACTGCTCACCGGTCTGACTGTATTATTCCTCTCAAAAGATGTAAATTCAGTCTGACTGTATTTCAGTCAAAGCTGCATCCCATCAACAATTAGAAGATTACATACTTTTGGTTCTTTTCAGTTTCATCTTGAAAAAATGGTTACTGACAACTCAGCGCTGTCAACATTAGTATTGTATTCTTGACTGTAGACTAACTTGTACTAATTGCTCTTGGCTATGTTGCCATCTCTTTCTCTCTCCTTTCCCTCATATTTTTACTTTGTCTAGATAATTTACTTATATTTTGTATTTTAGTAGCGGTTTTTACAGTGCATTTATGTTTCTGTAATTTTTTCTGTATTTTACTTTTTACATCCTTTTTTTTCATATGATGTGTATATGTGTAATGATGCTCTGTCTTTGTTTTAGGGTGACCTTTTAACATTCTGTCAATGGTCTACAGATGAAAAATAGCCTTTTTGGCTAATTCTGGCACATTTACAGTTATGTTTATTAATGTGCATTGCCCTTGTTAACAAATAAACTTAAACTTAAACTTGTGGCTGTGGTTCAGATCCTGCTCTGCTTCATGTTATCAGACGTCTGTATGAATGATTTGGATGATGACAGATGTTCGTCTGCTCTCACAACGCTAAATATTAAAGTCTGTCTAGTAGGGATATGCCGGTATCAAATTTTCATGTTGCGATTAATTGCTAATGCTTTTATCACGGTATACGGTATTATCACGGTATTTAAATTTAGTTTAAAAAAGTGCTGTCATAATACAGTATAACAGGTTTAATAACTTTTTTCTTATAACAAAAATAACTGAACATTTAAATGCAATAAAGCAATACAGAAAAATGTATAAAGCTAAAAGTTTTACACAGATTAAAGTGCAAAAGAACTATAAAGACCAATAGGTATCCCTTTACAATAAGACCTCATTAGTTAACCTTAGTTAATGCATTAACATTCACAATGAGCAATAGCTACAT